ATAGCAATAGCCACACGTTCCATATTTTTACAATCCAGAAATCACTTTCATGGTTACTGCTTAATTTGATAAGCTGCAGAGAAGACCATTCTCCCTCTCATTCTCAGCCATCACTTCTTACTTTAAGCAACAACACTTGCCCAGCCAATGTGGCTCAATGGTAGAGCATCAACCCAGGAACCAAGAGATTCCCAGTCGCGGCACGTGCCCAGGCTGTGGGCTCGATCCCCAGAGAGGGGTGCAGGAGGCAGCCAATCAATGATGTTTCTCTCTAATTGGTGTTTCTATCTCTATTCCTCTCCCTTCCTTTCTCTAAAAAAAATTTTAAAAAACATTTAAATGTTATAATTCTAAAAAATGAAGTACATCATTTTTAAAAAAAGAAGCAACACTTGAAAATTTCTGTTGTTCATAACATTATTGACAGCTAATGTAAGTCCCTTTATAGACAGGGACTACTACTGGGAGAGCTGAGCCAAGCCCCATAGGCCCAGCTATGCACAGGATATAAAAGGGGGACTGTGTAAATGCTGGGGTCGCTGCCTTCTGGGGACCTCAGCCCCAGAGTTCTGCCTCTACCAGACCACTGACCCCTACATAATGCAGAGCGGTCTCCCTCAGCCCATCCCAGTGTCATTTTCAGCCCTGGATGGAGGTACTAATGTGGAATCCATAGGCCATCATTTCATTACTTCGGTCTGGACATGAAACAACCAGAAGGATGATGATAATGCAAAAGTTATTTATCATCACTGAACCTTGATTTGACCATTTTGAAAATAGGAGTAAAATCAGCCCCTACCTAGTTTCCAGATATTTGGAGATGATAAACAAAGTACTACATGGAGTATTAGTTTTTAAGACTAATTACTTTGAAGTCCTTGGAAAGATCACATAAGATTCTAACTGGCTAAACGTTAGTTATCTTCTATCACTTAAAATTTTTACTAGAAATTATACACAACACCTCAAATCAAAGATATGGAAAGAGGGGAAAACTTAGGATTTGATATTGGGGAGGGGGAGAAAACTTAGTGAGGAAAGTGGCAATCAAGAGCAAGGATATGAAATAGGAAGAGGAAGACATGAAAATGTTAAATTGAAGAATCAAAATTTTGTTATCAGGAAAGAGAAAATGTAAACAGTAACCATCAAATGCTGGGTTCCCAACTAGAACTAAAATATTTTTTCTCTTTATTTTTCCCCATCATTATTTATCCTTCTATACCCTCTTCCACCTCCACCTCCTCCCTCCCACAATCATCACACTGTTGTCCATGTCTATGAGTTCTCTCTCTTTTTGAAAGATTATGTGAAAAAACTTTTTAAAATACATTTTTATTGATTTCAGAGAGGAATGGAGAGGGAGAGAGAGACAGAAACATCAATGATGAGAGAGAATCATTGATCGGCTGCCTCCTACATGCCCCACACTGGGGATTGAGCCCGCAACCAAGGCATGTACCCTTGACCAGAATCGACCCTGGGACCCTTCCACCCGCAGGCCAACATTCTATCCACTGAGCCAAACTGGCTAGGGCTGTGAAGAAACTTTTAAAAGCTATTAAATCTGGAACAACTGAGGAACAATTAAGGACACATTCTATGCATGGATCTAGACAGTATTATGTTAAGTAAAATAAGTTGGACAGAGAAAGACAAATGCCATATGAGTTCACTTCTTTGTGGACTCTAAAAAACAAAACAAACAAACTCAGATACAGAGCAAACTGATGGTTGTCAGAGCAAAAGGGATTGGGGATGGGTGGGAAAAGAAGGGGATTAAGAAGTACAAATTTCCAGTTATAAAATAAGTCATGGGGATGTAATGTACAGCAGAGGGAATAATCCTATATAATAAAAGACTAATATGCAAATTGTCCCCTTGGGCTGGAGTTCGTCCAGCGGGCAGGGCCAGCCAGCCAACCTCCTGATCGGGGTGGGCTGGCCGGACCCCACCTGTGCACAAATTCATGCACCGGGCCTCTAGTACTATAATAACTATGTGCAGTGACAGATGGGTATTAGACCTTATGGCGATCACTTCATAAGGTATACAAATGTTGAATCACTATATTGTATACCTGAAACTATATAATATTGCAGTATTACAGTATGTCAACTATAGTTAAAAGATAAATTTAAAAAACAAAAGATAAAGGAGAAAAAAAGAACACATTGTAAAGGCCATAATACATGTGTGAAATAAATTTAAACGGTAAACTCCAACCGAAGTGAATGCTGTATCTGGCTCTTAGAAATATTTTCTCCACAATGAGTTTTGCAGTGATTCTATAAGGGGATGTGATTTATATTTAAGAATTGATTGTTTGGGTGAGTCTCAACTAGAATCAAGATAACAAGACCCACACAGAGTATAGCAAAGAAGGCAACGTGAAAACTAATCAACGTGACCCTCTTTCAAATACAGCCCTTCCTAACCCCTACCTCCTTACATTTATATCCACCCCTCCCATTTTCCTAAGCCAACCAGCTAATCAGCCAACAAACTACTCTGTGGCTAACTTACATCTGGTTTAGGGCCTGCACTTCAGGAAGGTATGTATGTCAGAAGCAAGAAGGCTGAACTGAAATTCTGGCAGGTTTATACTCCTTGGGTTGATCTACACTGACTCTAACCACTCCTCCCCTATGAAAGACACTGAGAAACTCGAAACACTCATCCAAAAGAATATATGCACTCCTATATTCATAGTAGCATGATTTACAATAGCTAAGATTTGGAAACAGTCTTTATCCAGCAGATGAGTGGATAAAATAAACAGTGGTACATTTACAGAATGGGATACTATGTGGCAATAAAAAAGAAAAAACTCTTACCATTTGCAACAGCATGGATAGACCTGGAAAGTATTATGCTGAGCAAACTAAGCCAGTCAGAGAAAGATGAATATCACATGATATCACTCATATGTGGAATCTAATGAACCAAATAAACTGATGATCAAAAATTGACCCAGAGATGTAGAAGCATGAACAGATTGTTGAACCTCAGAGGGAAGGCAGGAGAGGGTGGGTGGGAAGAGATCAATCAATGAACTTGTATGCATATATGCATAACTCATGGACACAGACAATGGGATGGTAAGGACCTGGGGAGGGGAGAAGTGGATGGGAGCGGGCTGGAAGAGGTTAATGGGGGGGAAAGGAGGACCTATGTAATACTTTCAACAATAAAGATTTTTTAAAAAAAGAAAATATCTGCAAAAAAAAAACTAAAGGAAGTTAAGAGTAAATTATTTCCTTAGAGATTCAAAGGGAAAACAACAATGACAGAAGCAAATTGTTGCAAGGGCCAGGAAACCAATCATTAAGTACCACAGGATACACACACACACACACACACACACACACACACACACACTATTATACTCTAGTATAATGGTTCAGTTAAACACTATGAGGAGCAGCCAGCCACTTTTTACCTCAGGTCCCTTCTAGAAATTTGATCCTCACTCCTAGTGAGAATCTGGAAATGGTTCCACTGGTCATACTCCTCCTGGGAGAAGGACCACCTTAACTATTGAGAACTTGGCTTTGGTAGAGAAATAAGTTCCCTCTCAGTGATACTCATGGACACTGGGGAATTCTGTTCACTCAGTCTTGTCAGAGAGTTCACCATATGGTGAACCAGCCCTGAGGCATTAGGACCACGGCAGACATGGACAGCCTGTCCTGACCTTCTGAGCTCAACCTCATAAAGAACAACTCTCTCACTTTTTGATCGAACACTCCACATCTCCAGTCATACCTAAAGCCTGGGAAGAGTGACAGAGGTGTTTGACCTGGGGGCAATTTTATGTTCATATGACTCTTAGGCCAGAAGCAGAAGGGAGAATATGTTTCATGGTGAGTAATGAGGTGGAAAAAGGAAAAGGACTGTAACTGACAAGCAGGTGAGAACTGCCTGTTCCTTCTCCTCTCCTTAGATAAAACAGGCACTATTTGTCAGAGGTAAATTGATGTTCACAGTCCAACCTGTTACAGAATTAGGCAATCAGCTTCACTCATACATTCCCTAGAGTGGGGCGGGAAGTTAATTGTCAGTCACTAACCAAAGAATGTAAATAGCCACCAAATATACCAGGTATGCCTCTACATATCCTAGTCTTCCTTAAAGTTAAATTAGAGCAAAGTGATTCGTTCCTGCCACTAAAATGTGTGCAGAAGTGATGTGTGTCACTTCTAAGATGAGGCAATTAAGGCATGTGGCTTTGAGTTGTCATTTTCTCTGCCATGGTGCCCTTGAAGGTCATGTGTTCCAGATAGTGTTGGTACAAGAGAGAAGGAGTCCAACTAACCTTCATCAAAGTTTATGTGAGCAACAAGTAAACCTCTGTTGTTTATCTGTCACTGCATTAATTTGTTACTGCCTATCCTGACTAACATAGTAGCCAAAGCAGTGGTCCATCCATAATGCTATAAACTTTAGTGCAAGAAATTAACCTGGTCACACTCCATGAGGATGATCTGATTTCACATTCCCAAGATTTTTTTCAATAAAACGTTGCCTCTGAAGGAGGATGGTTCATCCTAAAACAATAATTTCAGGTGTAAAAGCCACTTCTCCCAAGACACATATCTTCAAAATACCATAAAGCATCTACAATTAATTCAATAGCTCATACAATCTCTTCCTAGGCACCTATCACCTCCTGCTACTTCCCATTTCACTAATATCACTAACTAACAAAAATGCTAGCTTATAGCCTCTATAAAAGAACATCCTCATAAATTCAGGTTCCAATAAAAATAAATGAAGAGAAAAATGAAAAAGGAGACACAACTAAGTTTCAATCAAGACCATCTCAATTTCTTCAGGGCCCTGGCTCAATCTACTTTTAAAGTTTAGAATAGGAAGCCCTGGCCAGGTAGCTCAGTTGGTTAGAGTATCGTCCTGATACGCCAAAGCTGCAGGTTCGATCTCTGGTCAGGGCACATACAAGAATCAATCAATGAGGGCTAGTGTTCCAGAGCGGAGCGCAGATCAATGGCCATGGGGACAGACCAGGTGGTGGGACTCAGCCTCATTGTGGTTAGCCTCATCATCTTCACCTACTACGCCACCTGGGTGATTCTTTTAATCCCCAGCACTAACTTAGGGCAAGTGCCCAGTAAACAACTATTAAATAAATGAAGGAAGGAAACAAACCAAGGCACACAAATGGCCATCATCTTAAAGAAAAGCAAATGGCCCTAACCAGTTTGGCTCAGTGGATGGAGCGTCAGCCTGCGAACTGAAAGGTCCCAGGTTCGATTCCGGTCAAGGGCATGTACCTTGGTTGCGGGCACATCCCCAGTGGGAGGTGTGCAGGAGGCCGCTCATCAATGTTTCTAATGCTCTATCCCTCTCCCTTCCTCTCTGTAAAAAATCAATAAAATATATTTTTTTTAAAAAGCAAAGCAAATGCTGTCCCAGTGGTTTGAGTAGGGTTAGCCCCTGAGATGGGGGAGGTGGATGTTTGGGCTTGGGGGTGCTGGGCAAGGCAGGGAATGCTCACCAGAGCTATGCCCTGGATGCCAGCCATTCATTGACAGCCAGCATGTCATCCACAAGTATTTCCTGCCCCAGCCCATGCTGTTGCCATCCCCACTAGCTGCTGGCCTCCTGCTGCTCCTGTTGGTGGGACTGTTCATCACCTATGTGATGCTGAAGAACCAGAAGGTGACCAAAAAGGCTCAGTGAGGGCCCAGCGGGGATGCAGCTGCCTCCCCTCCGGTGCATACCGAGGGCGGGGGCACACAGGACCTGTGCAGGCACAGCCCCTCAAGCATGGCTGCCCTGCAGACACCCCTGGGGATGGAGCTGTTCAGGACTCACCCCTGACTGACCAGAACCCCCACTTCTCTCCTACTCACTCTTCCAGAGCCAGGGGAAGTACCTGGAAATTTCCCTCTCTCCCCATTCTGGCTCAGGGCCTGAAAGATACTGGTCCTCCCTATTTCACTTTCAGACCCCCTGTCACTTTTTCCTCTGTGTTCTACCCTCTTGCCTCAGTTTCCTTCCTGTCACATGCTCATGTTAGAATTGGCAGGTTTTGAGGCATCATGTGGCCTCTCCCCCCAATATGTCCTTTTCCTCCATGAAGGCAGCTTTCCTGTGTCTGACATAGCCAGGGACTCCACAGGACTTCTTGACCTGGAAAGCTTAGGGGGAGGACCAACAGGCCTTGGGGCCACTGGGCACACTGAGCCCCCAGACCTTCTCATAGAGTCCCAGCCCCTTAGCCCTAGCACTGGCCTGCTGGGGAGAACTGAACAATAAACGTTGATGGTGTGTTAAAAAAAAAAAAAGAATCAACCAACGAATGCATCAATAATTGGAACAACAAATCTCTTTATCTCTATATTTCTCTTACCCTTTCTCTTTCTCTAAAATCAATTAATTTTTTTTAAGTTTAGAATAAGAAGAAGAGGAGGTTACCTTATTCACTATCTCTAAAATGTATGGATCTCTCTCAGTGAGCCAACAAGACCAGCACAAGATAAGATGCACAACACTTTAAAGCCTGAACAATTTTGGCTTGGCACTCTTCACAAAGCGGGGAAGATCTCTTGGCTATTTCTCACTGTCATCAGCAGAAAATCCCAGCTTTCAGAGCATCTGTGATAACTGAGATGACAGGGACCCCCACATATGACTGCTTATTGCAAATGACAAAAATATATCTTTAAAAACATTTTTTCAAAATCAGGTCACTTTATTAGTGTGCATTTGAGAAATTACACACACACACACACACACACACACACACACATTTTTCTTGGGCTAGGACTTGATGAAAGTTTGGACGTATTTATCCCCTCATAAAAAGGCCTGCCTGGTGGTTAGGGGCTATATTAAAGGCATGGCCTAGGCCTTGTATACAAGCTTGCTCCTTATTTTGTAGCTGGAATCTGGTTCTGTTGGGAGGAGATGCTCAAAGAAGCCCTTACTCTCTCACCCAGAAGGCCTCTTCTGAACATTGCCCAACGCTCCTGTTATACAACATGCAAAATAAATAATCAACCTTAAAAGTCAGGCAGCCAAAGCTCTACTCAAATAATAAGCCCTTTTACAAGCTGCTTATCACCTGCCAAAATCAGCTCCAGAGGAACACCAGGAACTTTAAATTCTATTGTTCTCATTAACTACTTGGGGGAGACAGACAAGCTTCAATGGTTTTATTGGTTTTCTAAGAGAAGAAAGACATAAAGTTTTTCATTGTCCACACCCTGCCCTTGATCTCAATAATTTAAATATAGCTCCAGTCCCACCATGTCTAAGATGTCTCTATTAAAAGTGTAAGTTTGAAAAGGGTCCTGGCCTTTTCTTGGAAAACATGCCACTCTCTACTTTGCCTCGACCTGATTGCTGGGGTGAGGAAAGTAAGAACATAAATGTTAATCTTTTCAGAAAATTGACTGGGAGGGAGAGAAAGGGCAAAAACAGAGGCATCCCAAATGCAATCTTCTGTCTGGAAGGGCTCTCTGAATTAACTCTAAAGGAGAGAGGTGTTTTGCTCAAGGAAAACTATACCAAAAAATGTTTGGTGCACTCAGGTAGGCCTGACAATACATTATTCTTGGCCCAGAGTACAGGATGGGGCCCCTTGTTAAGGAAATCTAATGGAAAAAAATCTGTTATTAAACTAATTTCTGATGAACCACAAAAGGGATTTTGATATCTATTTGATACTATTTTCCCAGAACCCTCAACCCACAGAAGCAAAGCTCAGAATGTACTTTCTCTATAAAAACTTAACTACCCTCCCTTACTACTTCTATATATACTGACTTGTTCACTCTTGTTTCCTTCACTCCCTTATGGGTTTTCTTAGAACAGGAACTAAGTCTTATTCATCTCTGCATCCTTATTTTCTATCACAGTCCCTGGCACATATAGGTGTTCATTAAATCTTTTAACTAAGAATAAAATTAATAATTACTAGAGTTAACATTGGAATGTTCAGTAACTCTGTGTTTAACTTCCTATATTTTTTCCACATTTTCCAGATGAGGAAGCTGAGGCACTGAGAGACTAATAAGCTAATAAATGGCACAGCAATGATACAAACTAGGCCAGTGATGGCGAACCTTTTGAGCTCGGCGTGTCAGCATTTTGAAAAACCCTAACTTAACTCTGGTGCCGTGTCACATATAGAAATTTTTTGATATTTGCAACCATAATAAAACAAAGATTTATATTTTTGATATTTATTTTATATATTTAAATGCCATTTAACAAAGAAAAATCAACAAAAAAAATGAGTTCGCGTGTCACCTCTGACACATGTGTCATAGGTTCACCATCACTGAACTAGGCAATCAGGCTCTAGAACCTTCATTCTTAAGCACTACAAGGAGTGGTACACAGGAATAAATAAGTGAGCTGATAAAAGGGTTATATGTATATGAAACTATTAAACACAAACTTAAATTGACTTGATTTAGATACCTGGTTTATTTACATAAAAATGTATTAAGCACCTAGTATTCTGTGCCAAGACCAGTGTTACTAGAAATAATTAGTGGCAAGATAAAGGTATGGTCTTGGTCCTCGAGAAGAGAGATAAATAGCAAAAGCTTATTGAGTGCTTACTATGTGCTAGGCACTGTTCTAAGTACTTCATATGTGTTAACTTCTTTAATCTTTATAAAACTCCTATAAGGGCACTACTACTACTACTACTACTACTACTACTACTACTAAATCAAGATGAGACAGATGAGAAACTGAGCCCCAAGTAGATTAAGCAACTTGCAAGAACCACAATTTCAACTCAAGCAGCCTAGGTCCAGAGCCCAGGCTCTTATTCACTGCCTTATCCCAGCCTCAGGGCTGGGTCTTTATCCCCCTCTCTTCTCTTAACTATTCTCACTTTCTACTGCCTCTTCCATTTGCAACCATACACACTCTAATATAATTAGTATGTGCTAGAAGAGAGAAAGAGGAAAAGTGCTATGAAATGCAGAGAAGGACATGATTCATTTTGCCCAAGAGGAGGCTCAAGGAATGTTCTGCAAAACAGGTGACACTTGAACTGGGCCTTGAAGACAGAAATAGGAAAAAAATTCAAATAAAAACAGTACATGGAAACCAGTCAAACTCGTATGTGTTTTCAAAGCCATCACTACTAAAGCACAGAGCTAAGAGGCAAGCCCAGCTCTACACTATTTTCTGCTCTTGAGGCCACTTCTCACCAAGGAACAGGAAAATAATTAGTGCAACTGTGGCCTGAATTTTTATGTCAGTTTTCCCACTTGGTTCAAACACTACCTGGGGTTTAGTCATCCTTTCAGTATCTGTAAGAATTTCTTTTCCTCACCCTGCTGTACAATAAATGTTTTTGGAAAGGGACCATGGGCTCTTTAGTGTAACTGAGGCCAAATCCTCCAAGGTTGGCAAAGAAGGCTGGAATCACCACATGGGGAAGGGGGACAGCTAGATCTCATGGCCCCAATTTTTTCCACACATGGAGATACTCTCCTTTTGCTAACTTCAGAGGTTCTAAGTCCAGTTTTATTAAAGGCTGTCTGTGTGTTTCTTTAGAGTTTGTTCCACTTAAACCTGCTGGCAACTTCCCCTCCCTCAACATACAGCATGAGAGTTACTGGCTATTATGCCAAGAAACACATGTGAATAAGGACAAGTGGACTCCAGCAACCAGTGTGTACTTTGGGAGCAAACTTGTGATCACTCCTCCATTCTAAATACCTTCTCTTGACCCCACACACCATTTCAGTTACTGTCTCATTGCTCTTGTTTACAGTAAAACTTCAAAAGACTTGTCTATATTCCCATCTACAATTTTTCACCTCCTTTTCTTTCTTATACCCACTCCAATGAATCTTCTGTCCACTGAAGCAGCTTTTATCCAGGCCACTTGTAATTTCTATGTTGCTAAAGTCTATCGAGAATTCTTGCTTGCCAACCAGAAATATGTTTCACAATTGATCATTCCCTCTTCCTTGAATTTCTGTGGCTTCCAGAATACCGTTCATTCTCTTCTGGGTTCCCTTCTACCTTCCTGGCCACATCTTGTCCGTTTACTTTGCTCATTCTTCATTGTGCTCCTAACATCTCAATGTGGGAGTGATTCAGGGCTGGGTCCTTATCCCCTCTCTTCTCTAACTACTCTCACTATCTTAGTGATGTCACCCATCTCTTGGCTTTAAATACTACCTAGATGCCTCTGACTCAAAAAATGTATTTCCAGCCCCAACCACTCCTATGAATGCCAGTCTCATCCCACAGCTTACTCACCATCTCTATTTAAATATCTAATTGGCATCTCAAATTCAACATATCCAAAATTGATCTACTGATATACTCTCAATGCTGTTCTCACCATTGCAGTTAGTGGCAACTCCATCCTTCCAGCTGCTCAAGAAGAAAACCTTGACATCATCTTGGACAGAATTGCTATGTTACACAACTCCAGAGGGCACCAGCCACATTTTATTCAGTGCTATTGGTGTTATGCAACATGGTGACCTTGTTCTCCTTTATTCTCTTTTTCTCACATCCTGTTCTTTTAGAAAATGCAATTGATTCTACCTTGAAAATATATTTAAAAATCCAACAACTTCTCCCAAATTCCACTGTTACAAGTTGGACCCAGACCTATCTCCTTATAGTTTATTATCCATAAAGCAACCAGAGTGATTCTTTTAAAATATGTCAGATCACATCACTCCTCTACTCAAATGTCCCCAATGCTTCCCATCT